CCAGGGGATGCTTTACTTTTCTCGCTATATGCTTCAACATTAGCAATCGTGTTTCACAAAAGTACGCTGAAGTGGAGAAAAAATACTATGAGCCTCACCTAGCTTCATGACGCTCCGCCGCCTTTGATCTGATTACTTTCATCATCGACTCTTTCCATAATGATGGAGCAGTTCTCATATTTTGTCTTTAACCTATTCTTCCGCGCAAAAGGGACGAAGAGTATAACGAAAGATGAGTACAGGAAACATAGTTACATAAAAAGAGGCGCATAATGGGCACATCAGTGTTAGGCATCCAAGAGAAAGAAAATAAGTGGTAGTAGATGGAAAAAAACATACAAGAGAGTAATCCTAATTGTCTCAATTGATTTCTTGTCTTCGGTAAAGTGCAAGTCGCGACATCACGTCCAGGTAAAAATATTGCATACGGGAAACAGATACGAACAGTTGTTCAAAAACACCTTCATTCTTTTACTAGACATTTGATTAATAACATCAGAAGAAGAAGAAGATGGAATAGGCCATGGATGTAAACGATCACTGTTGCATTGAGCTTGATGGATGGGAAGTGGGACGTCTCTAGTTATCTGCCTTTACTTTCTTCGAGCCACTTGGATACAATGTATCAGTGATTGACGGAGAAAGTTCTCATTGAAATTATCACATTTTACACTAGAGATGGCGCCTCCCACTCCTTATGTATAAGAGCCGCTCAGAATTATTAATCCTTGAAGTCACTTCTCGATAATTCTCAACAGTGGGATGATGTGGAAGGTTATGGGAATCCATGACAAGTGATCACGACGCAGTCAAGCCACTCAAATGACGTTCCTCAAGCATATATATACTCTTGGTAGAGAAGAGTGATCGTGGGATTTTGTGGGATCCGATGCCCTTTGCTCAAAAATTATTAATCGTTGGAACCCACACTTTCCGATAGAACTCCTACATTGGGATTCTGTTGGAAGTTGTGGGTTCCAATCGTCTGGGTCGATAGTCAACCAGCAAATGAGATTCCACACTTCCGACAACTTCCCCCACTAGCATTTCATCGAATCCAACTGTTGAATACAACAACGATGCAACTGTAGGATGTGTCTACAACAGGTAAAAGTAAAGTATAACGCCAGATTCCAATTGTGGGAATCTCATAGTATCATCTCTGTGGTAATTTATTGGTTTTTCATTAGGTTCCATCCGATCCTATGAGGCTGTTTCGACCTAGGAGAGTGAAATGATGACATCTCGGTCAGAAGAGCCAGAGATGATAGAGGTAGCGTGATGGCAATCAGTGACTAGAAGAGAGTCACGCAAGTGACAGCGGGATAACCCTTACCTAACAAATACGTCGGTATAGAGCTAACGAGGGAACCTCCCGAGGTGACCGTCGCCGATCAAGCTGGTATTTTGCCCATACGTAGGACCCAATGACAGTAGAATTACCCTAGAAGGATACGCTTTCTCAGAAGTTCCTTCTTGAATTATACTCGATTTAGTGAAACGTTTAGCTGTAGCCAGGTGTATACTAAAAGAATCGAATGATGATATTTTGACCTGAAATTTTGCCCACATATAAGTCTCATAGTCATTAGAATCTGTTGAGTCCAGCCAAAACGAATGTGTCCTCCTTGAGATAACGTATCTGCAAAAATAGCCCATACTCAATAGCAAGGTAAGGAGAACCGGGCTCTTTTTGCAAATTCGTTATCTCGAGAAGAGCACATTTGTTTGGCTGAAATTTTCAGGAAATTCTCGAAATGACTATGAGACCTACATGTGGGCAAAATTTCAGGTAAAAAATCATCATTCGATTTTTCGGTATACACCTGGCTAGGCATGTACCAAACACATGCCTTTTGGATTTGGGGTTTTGGGGTTTTAGGATATGAAAGTTTCTTTTAGTTCACTAGATGGTTTTCGTCAAGAATTAATTAAAAAATTGAAAAAAATCCTCTTTTTTTACCACTACATGTCCAACGTTTTCTTCCCCAACGATATCGTGATCAACAAGGAAAACGAACTTTAGGTGATGGCCGAAGTTTTTCCTCTAAGGTGAAATATCAGGGTCTACTTTATGAAAATAAAAATAATATGAATGCAAGGCCATCTCTGAATTCAAACGCAACTCCTCTACAAACAAATTCAATTTCAACATTTAGTATCGAACTTAAAAGCTACAGGATGAGTTTGATAAAATCAAAAATGAATATGAAGTTAAATTGTGAAAAACTAAAGAGGGTTACGACAATCAAATGAAACGAATTGCTCAATGATGGCATTTACTTAATCTGTAAATCAACTCGCAGGCAGAAGCAGTGATAAATGTGTCTACGGCGGTTTGTGAAATAGTACCACTGATAACTCAGTCGATTCAAATTGTTAACCAAGTGTTCGAAAAGGTTAATTGTAACGTAACTGATGTTAATGGAAGACAACGGAATGATCAAATGATAATTACAATAAATCTTACCATTAACGCATTAAATGATCGCCTTCAATTGCTCATCGATCACCATCAAAAGCCGTTAGAAAAGATTACTATGGAAGAAGTGGAATTTACCTGGAAACGGACCCGGAAGAAAAAATCAACCGACAGTGAGAGTATTTGCGCGTGTCTTTTAAAACAACTTCCTGTTGAATATTTAAGCAGTGTAACATATGGTTTTAATAAAATTCCACAATTAGATGTTTTAAAGTTAAGTAAACATGGTAAAGTTACTTGTCTTTCTAAAGACGGAATGGATCCGGTAATAAATAAACTTCGTCCTATTATTATTTCTCTTCTTTCTAACTTTGGTAAATGGTTCGAAAGGGTTATCCACAATAGAATTTTGAGATGGTGTAAGAACATGAGTATTTATTCAGATGAACAATCCGGTTTTACGGCTGAAAGAAGGCTGCAAAGACGAATCCTCTCTCTGATCGAAGGTCTGAGATTATCGGTAGCCGTATGTAATCGACCTACGCTGGTTATTTTTGTTGACTTTACGTCAGCTTTTGATCGAATGTGGCATCCAGCGCTATTAAAAACCCTTATCGATTTAGAATTTCCGCTGCCACTTTTTCGATGGGTCTTCCTGTGACTGCAGGAAAGAACCATGTCAATTCATTTTGGCGATGCCATTTCTCGTGTATTAGGCGTGTTTCTGGTGCTTCTCAAGGCTCAGTATTAGCCACTACATTGTTTCGTCTTCATGTTCATTTTCTTCCTTCTGTTTTTCTAAATTTTGTGTGTCATCGTTTTGCGGATGAGTTGGCTATAGTCATATCTGGTGCACTTGAAAGTCGTTTCAGCACAAATACTTTAGAACCAGAAAGACAAGCAGAATTAGCTATGTGTATTTTGGCAAAATATGCCGACGATAAGTTGCTTCCGGTAAAAGTTGAGAAAACCAAAGCTTTTCTTGTTTATAACGTGGTAGCACCACATTTTTCAGTTGTTAAGTATAAAAATAAAATAATTAATTTTGTTAAACTTTTTAAATATTTGGATGTTGAAATAACAATTAAATTAGGCTGAGAACAGTATATTTCCCATCGGCTGAAAATAGTTCGAAATATATATAACGCGCTTCGCATGTTGTTCTACCAAATTCCTATCTGTTTACTTACAATTCATAAAATACTTTTTTTCGCTTACGCTCTTCCCCATTTCATCCTATTGTTTTCATGTTGGTTTTCTTCCACTGATCGTCAACAACGAGTTATTGAACATGTGTACTGTTGAGGTGTAAGAATAGTGTTCAATTTGTACAATTGGGACGATCTAACCGTGTACATTTTATGTCAAGAACTAACTCTACGCGATTTCCTATATAAATATTGGATTAAATTTAGCGCATACCTTGAAGTTTCACATGAAGCTTCTTATTATCAATCAACATTCACATCCTACTTAGCAGCAAAAACACCTAATAGAAGTTGGTACCTTTCTATTATTTCTAGAAATAATAAGTTTTGAGTAGATTATCTGTAAGAGCTCGACACACTAAAATTGATGTAACTGAATTTCTCTCAAGACATTCTCAGCATTTTGGGTACTATAAACACTCTTATTCGCATATTCTTTCTTTCATGTATAGGTACTATCTACAACCTCCTTGAGCTTAAATAATTTTTTTTTCTATATATTTATTTATGTTTACAATTTATTCGTTCTTGTGTGTTAAAATAATTTTCTTTTTTTGAAATGTTACTCTCCTTATCGTTCATTTTTTGTATTCCTGTGCACTTTAATGGTATGATCTGTCGTTCATAATACATTTTTTTTCTTTACATTGTCAATCTTTTTTTTCATACGGACAATAAACTGTTTATATATATGCCCCTAGCTAGTTAAATGCTTCTCAGCTATTGATTTATCTTTAATATATTTTCATGAGTAGCTATGTCAATAAGTGTCAGCTATTTATTTAAAGCTCCAGATTGTTTTCTAGCAGGGGTTGTAGATGAATGAAAACATCTATCATTATTCAAATAGCTACTTTCTTTGCAGCACCATTTGGTTTAATAATGTACATCATTTATGAGCTATTCAAAGCTCGAACTATTAAAATATTATCATAGCAATTCGAAGGGTTTGGTAACTATTCACGAAAAGAGAAATTTACAGATTTTAGATAGTTAGTTACACAAAAAAAAGACTCGAAATTCTATTAGAAATGAATCAGCTATTTAAATAATTTAATAGTTGTGTACATTTGTTTAAACAGCTATCAATGTTTTAAATAGCTATGAAACTTCAAATAGCTATGATGTTAAATTAAAAAGTATCTCCTTTGAGAAAATACGGATTGAAGGAACGCAAACAAAATGAATTTTTTAAAAAATAAAATAAATATTTTCTTGTTCTTTTAAATAATGAATATATAAAAGTAAATATCACTGAAAATTAGTTGAAAAATAAAACAAAATTTAATTAAATATAAAATCATTTATCTTTTTGTTAAAATTATCTTTAGAAACATTTTCATATAATAATTTTAATGACATTGTATTGATATATCTTTGAAAAGAAAACAATTATATATCTTCTATCTAGTTTACGATATTTTCGATGTAATATTATTAACATTTGAAATAATTATCATTTATCGAATCGTGTTATTATTTTTTTGCAAAAAAGAAAGATAAAAACATTGATAATTTCTTAAAACAATAAAAAGACTTAAAAACTTTTAAAAGAAAAAAATAAGGAAATTCTTTTTTATCAGTTTATAAATGAAAATAAATATAATTTATTAAAGAACATAACAGTTTGAATAGATTTTCATTGACTGAAAAAAAAATATAGATTATCTGTTCAATTTGACATTGATTAATCTATCAAAATCTACATTTCTTCAAAATTTTCTTTTCTAAATTAAAACTTTAATTTTATTTGGTGAAAAGAAACACAACATGTTATACATTATTCTCACTCTCACCCTCTACCCTCACATAATAATTATGTAAAAGTCACAAAAAAGTTTATTTTAGATAAAAAGATGTAGACCGTTTGAACTCAAACATCTAGACATTATTATTAATATGCATAGTATATCATAACACGGCGCTATCTTGTTACAACATTTTTTTTGAAGAATGTCATTAGAAAATATTGGCTTTAATTTACGACATAACTTCGATAAATGATAAAAAGATTTAATGAATAAAGGAAATAGAAAAATAATTTTTGCTAGACAGCTGGATCATCTAAGAAGTTATTATTTCTTTTCCCCATTTTAGACAGATCAATAGGAAATCTTAGTCAGTTCCAAGCTAAAGTTTTTGTTCGTAAAAAGAAAAACAATCCGTTTTTACATTTGCCTTTCCTTTGATTGAGAGAATTTGAAGAGTTATCAACATTTACGAAATCAGCTTAACGAGCTCAAGCTACTATGAATATCTAATTGTATTTTAGGAGTGTTTATTACTTTCACAGATACTCGTGTGATCTTTCCGAAGTAAATGTTCTAGTCAGAACATGAGCCGTACTCACGATTTCTAAGCAGTAATCATCCGAATTTTTTCGATATATCCAGTCCAAAACGACGAAAACATCATGAATTTTAATTTTAATAGCGTCCTTGTTACTTGTTTCATCTGTTGGTGTCATAAGTATTGTATAGATCCGTTACATTTATACGTTTTCTTCTATACCCAAAGTTTGAAATGAACCGAACATTTTGCATTGAAGCTCTCGTTCATACTTTAAATAATCATAAAAGCAAAAGTCTAATGAAAAACAGTCATCCTAAATTTTAATTTATTGTTGTTATATTTTCTAGTCTGATTCAGAATCATCAAGTGGTGATGATGGAAGTCATGCAGATGATACATCTCGTCAATCAGCTATACCACCTCAATTGAGTATGTTTATTTTAAAATATTCTTTTGTTCTAAAATTTAATTTTTTGATTTTTTTCTTCTAGAACCATCGCAAATAAAATGACGTTGTTCATTAATACTAGCATATGCACCAGATACATCAGTATTGATTTATGGAATATAATGCGTAAGGCTATAGCAAAAGATTTATCACGTGTAACAATGCCAGTTATGTTAAATGAACCATTAGATTTATTATAAAAATTATGTGAAAAAATTAAATATTCAGATTTACTTGATCATGTCGAGGAGAATGATTCCAACATCGGCTCCGATCGGATTCCTGTCGAATCCGATCACGATTCTATTCGAATTTCCATAAAACCGACTAAATCCTAGCGGATCTCGAGAAATGATCCGACATCCGAATCCTTAGTTTTGGATGTGATCGGATCCTATTATCGGAATCCGATTGAATCCCATCATATAATCCGATCAGCTCCTACTATTGGCATAAAATGCTAATTCGTACTCAAATAAGAAAACAGGATTCGCCCGTCGGATCTGTTAGTGGTTTCGTCATTCGGATTCCCATAGGATTTTGTCGACTGCTCGGATCCTATCAGGTCCGATCGGATTCATTAACCTGAGTGCATCACAAACAGATGATGTTTACTTACGTCTTGTTTATGTTGTTGCATTTATTGTAAGCTTTAGATGTGATATGACGACGAAAGATATATAAGGACATTAAATCGTGGTAAATGGGTTCGATATTGGTAGAAACAATAAATATTAATACTAAAGATTTGACCGAACATTTTTTTACATGTTCAACGTGTATATCCGGACAACAACCTTCTTTTCTTTTCTCCTTGTTCTTTTGCATCACATGTGTGGCGACGTTTATACACGTTTATCTTGTACTGGAAGAGATATCGCCTTTTTTGCTAAATGTCTAGCTATAATGAAGAAAGGCGGCTCTAAACTACCATCTTTTTCTTCTCTTATAAATTTCTATTAAGAGCATTCTATATATACCCTGGAAAGCAAAAGCTGGATTCAGTATTTGAGCTCTTTTGATACCATGAAAGGATGTTTTGAGAAAAGTGAATATACCATTAGATAGCGCGTGAAATTTTGTACAAAACTGTGTATTTCGATTTTATCTTGACTTCATATATTGAAAATAAATCGAGCGAAATGAAGATGCCCTCAAGATGAGATTCCCACACGCCTGTATTTTTCACCATTTTTCCAATAAATACTTCAGATAGATTATGTCTTAAGCAATGGTCTTTTGAAAAAGTAAGTAGATATTCTGATAGCCCTGGAAATCCTCTATAACCCTGTATATTAACTTATTTTCTAACATCTATCAATTAAAAAAGAATCCGAGTGCTCAGTGAGCGTATTGTAGTTGACAAAAACCAAAAATCTATTTTTTCTCCTTTTTTCGAAATTTAGGCACTATAGTAATAAGTTTTTAAGAAAGAAAATTATAGATTCTGACAATGCTTGAA